TATCAGGAACGATATGACGGCTCCGGTTTGGATTGTAGCCTGCGGTGACTTTCAGGGTGGTGGCCTATGGATAGAGGGCGAAGCCGGTCAAGGTCCCGTGTTAAAGGTTCTTCCGAATGGGGAGACGCGGTGTGGGTGGATTCAGGACATTCACGATAAACCTTTTGTTTTTGAGGGTTCCAGGTGGCACTGTACTGAGCCTTGGAGCGGTAGGGACCGGTGGGTGATCGCAGCCTACGTTCCTCGGGGAGCTGGAAGGGTGATCAAGGATCATGCCCAACAACTTGAAAGCCTAGGGTTCAATTGTGATGGTTTGATTCCTGGGATTGGGAATTCAGGGATCTCGATTTCGAAGTGTAACCAGGCGTCGGTATCGTTTGCCGATGATGATGCCCTTAGCGTTGAGGGTTCCTGTGCTGATGATGAGTATCAAACTTCTGAGAATGACATTTCTTGGGAGATTGATTTTCCGTGTGAAGTGCTTGAGGGTGATTGGTATCCAAATGTCGTTCAAGCTCATGCTGAGACCGCACGCTTGTGCAGGGTCCTATCGCAAGAGCTGGGCGGATGTTGGGATTCGTTCTGCTTTGATGGATTGTTCGGGCAGCTGAGAGCGGCTGAGAATCAAAGGGATTGGTATGAAGGGCTTCTCTGGGATGAGTTTCTTCGGGATTCCGCGATATCCTTGAGGTCACTAAGTACAGTTCCTTTGGGCAGTGATGAGCCGTTACCGGCTTCAGAGGCTTCAGAGGTGTTCCTTCAAACTAGGACGGTCTCTATGACGGAAGCTAGGCGGGAACTTCCGTTGTGGATTCCACCGGCGCAGGAGGAAGTTACGTCTCTTGAGGATGTCCATGAAGCAGTCATTAGAATACAAGTTCCGGATATCGAGGCCCTTGTTAAGGCTGGTCATCGGGTTGTTCAGGTTCCGGGGAAGGCCGTGCTTACGCGGAAGTCCGGTGTAGGTAAACGTCGGTTTCGATGCGTGGCATGTGGGAACTTTATCCCTCAAAATGAGAACGCCCAGAGCCTCTACACCACTGGAGTTGAGGGTGTGACTTTAAGGGTAGCACTTGCTTATGCTGCACATATGTCTTGGGTTGGCCGGACCGCCGACATTAAGACTGCATTCCTGAATGCCCCCTTAGAGGAAGGCTACGATAATGGGACAGAGGAGATTGTAGTTGTACGCCCTCCTCACATTCTTGTGGAAATGGGACTCCTTGGTGTCACTGATCGGTGGCGGGTAGTTAAGGCCCTTTACGGTCTAAGACAGGCTCCGAAGGCTTGGGCTGTGCACCGGGATAAGATTTTAAAGGCTTTTGAGTTCGTGTACAAGGGTTCGCGCTTTGTCCTGAAGCAAGCGATTGCTGATGAGTCGTTATGGTACATTATAAAGGCGGACATCTCGGATGCTAACAACTATGCCCTGATGGTCGTGTACGTCGACGACATCTTGGGATTGGGACCGAGGGACCTTTTGGTATCGCTCTTCGAAGCCATTAAGAATATTTGGACGATTTCTGAACCAGAGTGGATTGTCAAGGAGAAATCTGTAAAGTTCTGCGGCATTGAGTTGTGGGCACTTGATGACGGCTTCCGTATGTCTCAGTCGGATTACTTGAGGGAGCTATTCGCGAGGTATAACATTTCCACTGGTGCGAGCTGTCCTATGTCATCCTGGAGCGAACCGGAACCCGAGGTAGATGCAACAACAGATCTGATCAAGGAAGCCCAAGGGGTCACAGGTGCACTCCTATGGGCTGCTTCGAAAAGCAGACCGGACATCAGCTACTCTGTCTGTAAGCTTGGGCAGTACGCAACACAATCGCCGGGTATCGTCGTCAAGGCTGGTATGCAAATCCTTAAGTATCTCTTTGACACTGTAGAGCTGGGCATTGAATACAAGCGAACAGCAGGCACAGCTTGGTTGGACACACCAATCCCGAGAACGGTTGGTACGGTAGAGGTGTTCACTGACGCTTCACACGCGCCGGAGGGGGCTAGAAGCCACCAGGCGATTATGGTGATGTGGCTTGGCAGTCTTATCGCTTGGGATTCATGCAGACAACCTTTCACAACACTGTCCAGTGCAGAGAGCGAGCTGGTGGCCATAATATCTGGGGTGTGCGCCGCGGAATCAGTCGGGGCTATCTTGGAGGAATTAGTCGCTGAAGACCTTGTGGTATCGGCGATGTCCGACAATCAAGCATCAATCCGAAGCTTCGCTGCTGGAAGCCATGGCTGGCGTAACCGCCACTTAAGAATGCGCGCGGCCTCGTGCCGCGAAAGAATCGAATCTGGTAGTCTAATTGTCTCCTTTGTACCTGGAGAGCGGCAGCTGGCCGACTTAAGCACCAAACCGCTAGCAAGACCAAGAATTATGTACCTACTAAATCTGCTTTCAATCCGTGCGAGGTCGCAGGATCAGGAGGTTGATAATCACGGACGGGTGTTGAGTAGGCTCTGGTTGACTTCGCAGCTTAAACCGGTGGGTTCAGCCCACATGTTGGCGGGGTTAGCGTTGCTTGCAGCCGTACCGGAAGTGAGAGCGCAGCCTAGTGGAGATGCGGCTTTGGAGTACTATGGATGGTTTAGCTGGTTGATTATGTGGATACTTACCGGGGTCGGTTTAGCTTTAGCTTGGTGGTTTGTGTTTCGCAACGCGGATGCGGACAATCTTGAGGAGCAACCGCTTGAAGCATCCCAAGAGTCTGGCGTGCATGAGCTTGCTGGTCAGGGTGATCACGGGTTGTTTGTTTCGGATGCGGTTGCGGGTTTAGGATCGGGTTCTCAGGTTGGGGGGAGCAGCTCTAGTAATGATCCAGCCGGGTTGATGCCACAGACGGTTGGCGCTGGGGTTGATTTTGCGACTTCTCTGACTGGGGGGAGTAGCTCTAGTGGTGATCCAGCTGGGCTGCTGCATCAGCATGCTGCCGAAGCGCTTTTAAATCAGAGTGAACCAGCTGAGCCAAGTTTAGATTATGAGGATCTGGTCCAAGGGGACGAGGAACCGGTGTTTCCCCTGGCCCTGGTAGGAGGGTATCTAGTTCGGCATTTCTTGGTACAGCTGTTGTCGGTAGAAGGGGAAAGGGTTTTGATGTTCCTTGGGGATAGGTCTGAGTCTTGGTTTAGGCTTCGGTTGACCTCTACTCAAGTTAGGTTTGGAGTAGCCGGTTCACTGGTTGAGATTCTTAGGCAAGGACCTTGGGCATTGGTTTTTAATGGGCCTCAGTGGCTACTTGCCACAGAGGAATACATCCGACGGGGGTGTGTTGATCCGGGCTTTGAAGAACCATTCGGAGTATCTCTGTCAAACGTGGCACAATCATCTCATGAGGTTCCCGTCAGTGGTGAGCTTACTGAGTTCCCCTATGTCATTTGGGCTCCTTCGGACTTTGTTCATTATCTGAGACGATTGCTGGCTTTGAACGGCGCCACATTGCTGAGCTTGCTTGGTAACCAGTCGGTCGAATGGGTGCGGCTGAGGACCGTGTCGAGATCCTTTCAATCTGGGGTCGTGCTTGCTTTAGTGGTATGGCTTCAGGGTCGAGGGATGATTAGCCGAATGCTTGACGGTCCAGTGTCCTATGACGTAGCCACCGCTTACATTACTGGGCGCATTGCGCCAGATTCCGAGAGCGAAGATGAAGCATTGGATGATTATCCGCATCGCGATCCCGCCTACCAACAGCATCCTCCGGTGCCAGTGTTTGCTCAGATGTTTCAAGAAGCTTTTGAGGAAGCTACTTCGTCTGATGCGAGTGTGACTTCTACTACCGAGCCATCGGTTTGGAGTGCGAGTTCTAGTGAAGTTGAGGAGCTTGGGCAAGTCGAGGAAGTCGCTGATAGCTTGAGTCCTTCTGCTGAGGCTGTTGCTGGGGTCCGATACGAAGCTGAAGACGGGAAGCTTTTGGTTTACTATGTCGATGATGTATTAGTTGTTCCTCTGCCGAGATGGAGCCTCGCGCAGGTTCTGGTGGTAGTTCAAGGGCTACGCACAGGCGTTTGGGATAACTTTCAAGAGGCCTTGGAGGCTGTTTCAGGTGACGGGGCAGAAGCTCCTGGGTCTTAAGGGGTTTCTAGGTTCCGGCTTGTAAGTTCCTTCCTTTTGCTCTGCAGTCAAATAAAGGCTGTGGGTACCTAGTTAGCTTGTGATGATTTCCCGTGGTAGGCAATGTTTCTCCAATTTTAGATTGGGCTTTTAGAGGTCCTGTTAAGCTAAGTCTGACAGGTCGTTTGGAAACACGCTGAACGAGGGAGATTGTCCGTTAGTGTTGGACGCTGGAGACTTGTATTTCAACTATCCCCGAAGGGGACCCTCACGAATAGCTCGAGGTGATCGGAATTGAGTCTTAGTTTTTGTCCTCAAGCCGAGTGCATAGTGTCGAAACAGGTGGGAACATCCTGAATCTCGTGCGAAAGCATGTTTTCCTAGTACCTATCCCCTGGCTCTTGTAGGACCAGGTGAGGGGGAGTGCGTGGAACACGCTATCAGGATGCTCCCTGCGCAAAGGATGACACACCAAGGTGCGCAACACGAAGGCTGTTTTTGCTCGAAAAAGTTCGGAGCCCCAGATAAGCGATCGATTAGGCCATAACATTCGGGAATCACGAAAGTCGCCAGGCAATCTTGTCCTTCGGATTGGATTCGGATTAAGTACTTGTTTGGACGTTTGTGTCCCTGGAGATCGAGGTGGCCGCTCGGATTGCAATTACTGGGTTTGGGTGGTTTAAATTACGTACTAAGCCCTAAACCTTAAACGCTAAACCTCAAACCCAAAACCTTTAACCTTCACGTGCTAAACCCCCAAACCTCAAACACTAAACCTTCAACCCTAAACCTAAGCTCCTTTCCTTCGATTTCCAAGAGACCCTAAACCCTAAGCCCTAAACCCTCAATCTCAAAAAAATCAAAAACAACCCTAAGCCCCTTTCCTTCGATATCCCAACAGCGCCTAAACCCTAAACCTCAAAAACCCTAAGCCATTTCCCACAAGGCAGCGATGGTTGGACGGCTCTGATGGATCGCCAGATGGAGGCGCTCTTCGATCTCGGCGTGTCGCGCCACCCGCCTCAAAGCCGAAACCCTGAAGTCCCTAAACCCTAAACCCCGAAACCCTGAAGCCCTACCTTTAACCCTGAATAACCTACCTTTTTCGGGCTCCATACTATGATTTCGATATATAAGTCCTTAAAACCATAGGTCCTTCGGGGTTCAGGTAAACCCTAGTCCTAAACCCTGAAGCCCTAAACCCTGAACCCCTCAACCCTAAACTCCTAACGCCCTAAAGCCCTAAACCCTCGACCCACCAAAATTGCGATGCTACTACAAGACTACACTAGGATCATACGATCATACGACCATGGCATAATAGGATCATACTGTACAACTTAGTAGTAGGTTATCATATCATAGCACGTTCATTCCGTGTAACCTAGTAGTATAGGCGACCTTGCATCTTTTGGGGTACGATTAATCCCGGTAGAGTCCCAAAGGTTAGCCTTCAGTTTCCCGAGTATATTTTCCGGCGCAAAGCCTGAGGTTTAGGCCATAAAGATCTGAAGTCAGAAGCAGGTGACTCCGAACATGGCGAACTTGACCAAATGCTAAACCCTGAAGCTCTTAGGAACTCAATGAGAACTCTGATGAGCATGTGGAAGTCTCTATTTATGGCTGAAGATGTGGGTACTGATCAAGACAGTGGGCGTCAATATGGTTCGTGGAGGGAGTTGTGAAGATCAATGTGCCTGCAGTCCGGTCTTTGTTTCACATCGCTTTCTCTACGGGATTCCTTCTGTGTGATGGAAAAGGCGGTCAAAAGAAACAACACAAGCCCTGAACCGCCGAATCAAGGTGGTTTGGTAGAGCAGTGCGTCAGCTCGGTGCTGCAGCTCTGCATTGGCGCAGGGTCCTGTATTCAGCTATTAGTAGGGTTTTAGCAGGGTTTACGGTTTTCTGTATTTGGGCTTGTATTGTGTAGGCGAGTTCGTGGAGTTCAACTTCGCAGTTCTACATGTTTGGCATCGCTACGCACCGAGGCTACCGCTCAGCTTGTTTGCCCGAAGTCTCCTCCTTCGATTGTTGCTTGCAGTGGCCAGGGTGATGATCCCCAATGGTTTTCTGTAAAAAATTAATTCGTCGGACGTTGGGTCCATGAACATTGCTGGAACGACTGATGAGAACATCGCCAGGAGGGTGCTTGTGATACATATAGTAAGTGTTTTGCATTGAAATCCATAACAGATGAGCCCTAAACCCTAAACCTGAGTGCCTGCATTGAAATCCACAAGACATGAAATCGGTGAGCGGACCTGTGGGCTTCTTGCCCTGTGCGCATCGCTCTAGTCTTCACAGGAAATCAGGGTGCTAAATATCTGCAAGCGCTTTCACGAGGAGCATTTGCGCTGTGACGTATCGTTCTTCAACCAGGGGCTCGGGTTCGAGATGCAAACAAAGCCTTACCTATAGTCTCCACTGTTGTTGTTTATGTCGGTTCAACAAATTTTATGTACAGGTGCCGATAATGTAAACAAAGCCAACACTGAAACTAAGATTGAGGTTATGGGCAAACCCCAAATTACCATGAAATCCCAGTCTTCACCGGAGCCTGAAGCAACTGAGGACCGACATGACATCCTGAGCAGGTTCACTGAAGCCGATAAGCCCCACTAGGGCCTACAAACCAGACCTCTAAGCATCATACTCAAAACCCAATTTTTGATTTTGTTGTTATGTCCGTTTGTGGGGGCTCAGGTGCCTGTCTTCGAGGAAAATCTCCTAGCCGTGCGCCGTGCGGCTGAAGCAGAGGCTTTGTAGAGCCCTTTGCTTCTGGCCTGATAACATTACTAGACATGGCTTCTCGGGGTTCTCCAAAACCAAGAATAACATACACGCCTTTGTGAACACTGCTACCAAGTACATCAGGCTTTGGATTGACGGTTGGCAGTTGGAGCTAATGCTTTGAATGCTGCCGCGGCTGAAGTATCCTACCTAGGATGCCCAGTAGTACCCTTATTCCCTTTTTGTAGTCCTAGGTTCCTTATAAACTTACCCAATACCAAAAAGAGAGGCCTTTTTATTCCTAGGTTACTGGGTATCCTAGCTACAGTGTTGCAGCTTTCAGGCGCTGTCTCGGAGGGTCAGGGATGGGGCTCTGTGTTGATCCGGAACACAAATTCTGGCAGGGGCGGTCTTTGGCGTTTGGGTCATGACGTGGGAGAACCTAAACCATAAGTCATTTTGCAATTTTCAAGTTGAGTGTTGGTGTTGAGCAGCATCTGCAGAACTTATAAAGCACTCGCTACACACTGCTCTTTGTTTCGACCACAAGTTATACTCATATGTTCGTTTGTGAGACCGCATATATTGCGGTTTATCACTCAAAGTTCCCTTCGTATCAGTACGCATCACTATGCCTTGTGACGCCGGGGCAACTCGCAGGCTGCTCAAATCGTGCTCAGTGATGCGAATACCGTGTTCATTGAGGCAAGGGCGGAAACTCAAGCAACGGGATGCAACGAGGTTACCCGACCCCAAACGCCCTTGTGCATAGTTCGGGCTGCTTAGCATTTTGCCAAGCTAAACTAGCAGCCCTGCAGTCATGGCCGGGGGCAAAGTAGGGTTTAGAGTATCTAGTATTTTGGAGTTGTTGGGGTCTGGTTGTGCCCGAGCCTCCTTCTTCAGGCATCCAAGGCCGGTAGTGAGACACACAGGGACTTATCGTTGCAGCGTGTGCTGATTCTGTCACTGTGATGTTTGTCATCATTGCTGTTTGGCAGACTTTCCGAGGTGTGTGCCAATGAAGTGCTGTGAATTGAGCTCCCCCTATTGTTCCACGTTCCTCCCAGATTTCGCCTTCGAGCTGCTTGCTTCAGTCAATCCGTCGGCGTGCAAAGCAACTGGATGATTGCAGAGCAGATGTCATATTCTTGCAAATCTGTTTTGCAGTATAATTCTGCTGCTGTTGGCGGTTGGGGCACCGCTTCATCGCTCGCACCGCAACATCTTTGTGCGGAGCTCCGTTCCCCAGGCCTCCTGAGCCCCATCTATACTACAAATCCCTACACCCTGAACCCGACGACACAGGAGCTGCGGAAACAGCACTATGTAAGCTACGGTGCACATAGGCAGCGTCCCCCTTGGCAGGCATTTCTTCAGTCTGCGGGCCTCCGAAGCTGTTTCTCGGAGCCTGGAAGGGTTTAGGGTAAGGCCCAAAGGCTTCAGATCAAGCGGAGGATCGGGTCTTGGGGATGGTTGTAAGGCCAGTGCCTCCCTAGGCTTCTTAGTGCGAGCGCTAGGCAAGAGCAAGTGCGGGTGTGTTTGTACACACATGTGACATGTGTATGACACACGTCGTACGCATAAACATTGTTCTGGGGTTTGCAATCCAGAGCCTGTGCCCCTCTGCATAGGCATCCCCAGATTTTCAGGCCAGGCAGCTGTGCCTGCATCGGTAGATCGCCGGGCATACTGCATTGGTGCTTCTACGACTGCCGGCACACCTGCTTCACATTTTGAGCATGCAGCAACTTAAAGACCCTAAACTCTCTAAACCCTAAACCCTAAACCAAAAAAAGACGTGAACCCCTAAACCCTGAACCCTGAGTTCGTCAAAAATGGGCCTGGAGGAGGCATGCCTGCGAGGACCCTGACTCCTCAAGCTTTGCTGCACAGGAGATCATCACAAACGCGGCGGAGTTCGATGCGGACGGACGTTTGCACGTCCGCCCATTTCATGCAACTTGGCAGCTTCTCAAGACAAAACTTAAAATTGAAGTTTCCTGTCGTGGTTTGCTTTATTTGCTTCCGCAGAATTCAAGAATACTATCTCGAAGTGTTCGGGGAGACAAAGTCTGGTTTAGAAGTGGGTCATGTGCCAGCTACTTGTGCGGCTGAAAGCATGATACAAACGAAGCTGAACGCGCTCAGTATCTAGCAAGGGAACTTCTACACATCGCTCTTTACTACAAGCTACATGTCACTGCACTTGATCACGAATCTGAAGAAGTGTTGACATACCCGATGCATTGACATGCACAGACGAGCAGACTTGGCCAAACGGGTCGTACCTGCAGCAGGTGAAAGTCCGTTGGGGAGTCTTTCCAGAAGGGATCCTTATTGCTACAAGTTCTATGGATTCCCAACTCCCACAGCCCGATTCCACGAGCTCAAGGAACCCGTAGCCCCATGAAAGATCCCAGTCTAAACTAGATTTGCCGGCAGCCATACAACACCCGCCTTGTTTGTTGGGACACATGGGAACTGGGTGACTCCGTGAGCGACCTGGCCCTCAGCAATTACCATGCAGAGCCACCGAAATCAAAATCAATCCCAACTCCCTAAATCGAATTGATGCAGCCCACGCTGAGGAGGGGCCTCCTCACGGATGCCCGCTCTGCCCCGACAATTTGTGCAAGGCGGATTCACGTTTTCCTTGTAGGGTAAATGTGTTTTGTGGAAAGGGGTAGGTTTTGGGCTCACAAGTGTTGCTTGCATACATGGTTTCTTCCTCTAGTATTTGCAGGTCTACGAAGCTCGCAACCCTAAACCCTACAAATCCTAAAGCCTATACACCCTATAAACCATATAAACCCTAAACCCCCTAAACTCACCTCTCTATGCCCTTAAAGCCCTCGTCGCCCCAGGGCCTCGTCCTTCGCCGCCTCCTCGCCGACTACCAGCCCCAGCGCGTGCTCTACGTGGGCGATGCTGGGTTCGTGTTTCAGAACTTGAAGCTCTTCCTTAACCCTGAACAACCTACCTTTTTAGGGTTCCTTATTATAATTTCTGTATACAAGTCCTTGAAAATATAGGTTCTTCGGGGTTCAGGTTGTTTGAGAAGTTACGACTTGAAGTTCGAGGTTGCCACGGTCCGGAAAACTTTTTCTGTAGGGCCTGTGCGTTTTCTGGTAACTCGGGCTTCGTTCCTCGTATGCCTTTTCAATGCAAGTCTGTCGACGCACTGAAGCCTTTGTTAACATGAGCCATGTTTGTAGACTTTTATACTTTATAAGAGCCTCACAAGACCGTCAGTCAAAATCCTGAAAACCGGAAATTATCGTACATTGAACTCATTTGGTAAACGTTTGAATTGTGTGTTAATGACATCCCCTTGTAATAGTCCCTTGTAATGCTTGCCTAGTATACCAAGCACCCGCCTCAAACCCTCTAGCAGTCAAATTTGCCCTAAACTCTAAACTGCCCTGAACCAAGTGCCTCCAGTCCTCGAACCAGGCTTTACCTACAAGGTATTCTTTCTGACTGTAGCAGGGATGAAAAGGGCCAGCAACAAAAATGCCCTGAACCCTCTATAGACCTTGAAATCAGGGTTTGTGGTTTAGGGTTTAGGGTTTCCTGAACCCTCTACCAGGATGGCGGCGGCGACTTTTGTCCAGCTTGCGAACTTCGTTTCTTGGCTTTCAGATCTCTCGGCAACACCAAGTTTCGTCTTCCAATGTAGGGGCCTTAGTAATTATCAAGACTAGTTTTTGGGGGGTTCCTTATTATAAGTAGAGTATAATGAGCCCCACAACCCTATTCCTTCGGGGTACTTAGAAATATTTTTTCAATTTTTGCTTATTGTAATCCCTAAGAAACAGCTAAAATCATAGTTTTTGCTAGGGTTCTAAGTTCAGTATAGATTCGAATTTGTCACAACATCAAGTTTTGTCATCAGAGACCCAAGGTCGCTGCGGGGATACCCCTGAATGAAGGATATGGGTAGTTGTCAAAATTAGGGTCCCTTTCTGATCCTTTCTGGGTACCCTAAATAATAATAGGTGCCGTATTATAATAGGGACCCCAAGAGGGACCATAATTTTGACAACTGCCCATAACATTAGTTCGCAAGGGGCTGCATGTTATCTAATTAAGGAATATACCTTGAAATACAAGGGGCTTCGTGTTATCATTATTTGAGGGGGTATTGGGCTCTCTGGGCTAGCGTCCCAGAGCTGGGTCTTCTGTCTTTGAGGCAAAGAGGACGTGCTTCTTTGCCGCGCTCCGCCGTCCCCGCCGCTTGCACGGTTTCAGAGAGGCAGGCTACTAGATTTTGCCACTGGCTTGTCAATGTGGTCGACCTTGCAGATCTCAGCCTCTGACATTCTGACCTTGCTCACAAGAGTACTAGTGACATTCAACTGCAAGCACACAGCGTAAACCCTAAACCTCCTTGAACCAGTTAGAATTCGAACCCCTGAACCCTAAACCTTAAACCCTAAACCCTAAACCCCCCCTGAACCCTAAACCCTAAAGCCGAACTTGTGAGAAGCCAAGGCCCTTGACAAGTTTCGGCCTCAAGAGGCGTCTGGAAGGGCCGCCCGAGGCGAACGGCCAGGGGAGTCCGTGCATGATGGTACTTGGAGGATCATGGGACTGAGTAAGTAGGGTTGAAAGTACCTTAATTGGGGTTATAAGTAATTATAACTGTTACTGTAGTTACTTTACTTATACTTCTACTTACTAAGTCCCATGATCCTCTACGTAGGGTTTAGGGTCCTAGTGGTTGGGGTTTAGGACTTCTTGTGAGTTGATCTTCATCGGTCTAACCGTCTTGAATGTTCGTTCGCTGTTCCGGCTGCCCAGATCGCATTGTTGCTTTGCTGTTCTTGTTTGCAGCAGTTCAAACCCTAAACCCTCAGCCTTACCCCGTTCAAGGAACCACTTCTGACTTGGGCAGGGGGACGGCTCTCCAGTCTCCGGTGTATGGTTGGAGGATTTCGGGCAAAGGCATGCATCTGGCATGGGAGTTCGACAGCTGGCTCCTCTCATACCTGTCGAACCGTCATGCCTGCCCGCAAAGCCCAACACCGGAGAGCTTGTATCGCAAACATGCCATGCCGCACGTTGCAGCTACGGACAGCAACCCCAAAACCCCAATCCCCCCGACTAAACCCATAAACCCCCTTATAATCAGGATCAGGGTACTATACTAGGGTCCCCTATTTTCGGAAACTCCCATAGGGTGCCCCAAAGCCCTGAACGTACAACCACTGATCGACAGGTGAAGCAGGATGGCTCTGATGCCAAAGTCGTTGCAAGGGTCACAGAGTGGCAGTCCGGTGACTGGCTCTGATTTGCTGCAAGTTTTGTGTGTGGGATTTTAAATTATAATAGGATCCTTAATATGGTTTAAGGTGTATGTATATATATATATATATTCATAAATTGAGGGATATTGTAGGATGGGGCAGTCCCTTCGACGTCTAAAGATTTGGTAGATGTAGGGCGCCGAAAAGGGGTTCCACAGCTTGTAACAAGCTGCATTAAACAGGCTCAGAGGCGTGGATGAATGTTTCGGGGGCCGGGTTCCTTGTCATGGTTGATGTTGCTGTTGTGCTTGTAAGTAGTAGTAGTTTTTCTCATGATCACGATCATTCCTGTTTGGAGGGTAGCGGTGACACTTCCTTGCATTCCTGCACTGTGCTTATAGTCTTCTTGAGAATCTGCTGCCTCGTGACCAGAGGCTGTTGTTTGGAGCCTGCGGGTCTTAGAGCCCATAAGGAGTTTCCGAAAATAGGGGACCCCAATATGGCACCCTAAATAGTAGGATCCTTATTATGAGGACCCCCATGTGAGGTACCTCTAATTTTGGGAAACTCCCATAAAGGCGTCTCAGGCAACGCGAGGCTTCCGTTTCGCTTAAAATCGTCGTTCCAGGTCGTGTGTTTGCATCGGAAGAAGGAGGGACCCTAAACCCTAAACCGTGCCTTTAACTGCTGCGCACCCCAATCCCCAACAGTCGCCAGAGTACTTGAAGGTTCATGGGACTTGACTTAGTAACTAGTGTTATAAATAAGGTAACTATACTTGTTGGATATAACGATATAACTCCAGTTAGGGTGCTCATTACTGTAGTTACTAAGTCCCATGAACCCCCAAGTAGTGAGTCTAGCACCTAAGTCTCGTCGCAGATGTAAGTTCCCTCCTACGCAACTTCCGCAAGACTCACGAACAATCACCGAACCGTGCCCTCTGGGTCGTCTCACGTGATGAGAACTATCTGACACATCGAAGTCAAGGCAGGGCAAGATTCTTGGCATAAGGGATTGTAGATCGTAGTGCCGCTTGCACTGGTAGTTCATACCCCGTGGTTCACAGGCGGTGTCGTCACGAGCCGTCGCTACGGTACCGCTACTTCTGAGAATCAAAGCTCCACATGTATTCCTGGCTTGCGAGCATGCCATTAACCCAACATCCGATCAATCAGTGCTCTTAGTAGTAGGGTAGGTGGCCTTTAACCGTTTTTGGGTAGTACAGTTCCTATATAGTGCCTATAAAACCAGAAAGGTTAACCGTGTGCTCAACGCTTGCGCTTCCCAGGCGAAGATGTGCTGGCAGCCATCACTGACTTCCTGGTTTAGCGCGGGGAGAACAAAAATGCGAGCTGGGCATGCGCAGAGAGGGTTTAGGGGTGAAGCAAGAGGCACCATCTGGATGCTTGTACCACGCTAGATAGAAGAAGCGTGATGATAGGTGTATCATGTTTTGCGGTAGTGTGTTTGAATTCCACTGCCTGAATTGTTACCAAGACAAGAGATTGTGAAAGTTGCGCCAACCACGCTCGCAACAACTTTGTGGCTGAGCATCTAGCTTAATATCCTCCTACCACACCTAGAATCATAACCTTTTCCTTAACCATGAATAATCTACTTTTTAGGGCTCCTTATTATGATTTCTTTAAATAAGTCCTTAAAAAGTCAAGCGTTTCAGGGGTAAGGTTGGGGCTGGGATAGAAGGATGCAGCGCTCCCCTCCCTGCCAGGCACCAGGTCATGAAGTACCTGAACTCAACCCCAGCGCACCTCAGAAGCACCGAAGCCTTCAGAGTTCTCTTTTGAAGGCTAGGGGGATGTTTGGGTTTGTAAGGTTTCGAGGCGTGGGGTGTAGAACCCTAAACCCTAAACCCTAACTCTAAACCCTACAAACCTTGAAACCTAAACTACAGTAGGGTTTAGGGTTTGGGGTTTAGGGTTTAGGGTACTATGAGGTAGGGCTTTGGGACATTGTATATTTGCTCCTATTGGGCTTAAGAGGATCTTGCCTACTTCTATTTTTCAAGGGCATTCACCGCCCCTCCTAGGCTAGGACAAACAGCATGCTTTGTTCAGATGGAGGTTTTTCTCTACATGTTGTTGATCAAAATCATGGTCCCCTTTCGGTCCTCTAGACTACAAGGTATATACCATAATACAGACCCCAAAAGGGCCCATAATTTTGATCAACCCCCATATTCCAGCAAGCCTGAGAATCTTCCGTTGGGCCACCATACCGGCTCTTCCAAAGCATCCAAATCTTTGGGATATCAGGAAACATATGTACTTCACGGGACAGTATTGCCAACACACAGATCAGCCAGGAGCTGTCCAGATGGGTGGTTCTCAAAATTATGGTCCCATTTTGGGTCCCTATTATAATACGGCACCTATTACTTAGGGTACCCAAAAAGGGGCTCTAATTTTGACAACCACCCATATGAGTTTTGGAGTTTTGGGGTTTGGACTTTTTTTGCTTGAGTTGTGGGTCTGCGTCTGCCGCACCGGAGAACTCAAAGACCCGACTCTACACAGCACCAAGGGGATATGAATACTCATGAATATAGGGGCCTTGATGATTGGAATAGCGCATCGGATTTTGGGGCCCATTATGCTATCATTCTAACAAGGAACACCCAATATAATCTTGGTAATTATTTCGGCCCCTATAGTAGTCCTCCAGACCTCCATAGACGTTACAGTCCGAACTCACAAGCCCGAAAAGCCCAGGTCAGTGCCCGGGCACTTCCGGGGTCGCGAGGGACTCCAGCCGAGCCAGACGCCCGAAGAGGGGATTGGTAATATAGGAGTTTTCGAAAATTGGGGGTACCTTATCTTGGGGGACCTTGTAATAAGGATCCTACTATTTAGGTTACTATATTAGGGTCTCTATTTTCGGCAACTCCCATATAGAAGCCTGTGCAATTGATAAACATAATTCCACAGGGCTCCTTATCAAAATGCGAGCCTTCTAGGATCCTAACCAAAAAGACGGTTAAACCCAAGCAAGGAGCTGCACTGGAGACTATGGGCAGGCTTCCTTGTTATGAACAAGATAATAGTATAACAGACCCCACAACCCTATTCTGATCACTTAAGGCCCCTATATTTGAGGGCGGAAGGACTGGGGGTCTTGCCCAAGCCCTGCGGCTTGGGGTTAAGAGTTGAGGGTCCGGTGCTTGGATTTGGGGTTACGGGCTAAGGGCTGAAGGTTTATAAGATCTGCAGTTAGGATAGGGGGCTTGGGTGCTAGGGGCCTGAAACACGGAGGTTAGAGTTCAGTGTCGTGTGGTAGTTTTTTGGAGCTCAAGGTTTGTGGCGATGGGTGTGGGTGCGAGGAAAATTTGTAGGAGCCGGTGTAGGAGTAGACGCAGCAGCAGTTGCAGCAGACTTTTGCACCAAGAGCATATTCATTTCACGTGTTTGTTGAATAGCCAGTGGCGGTGCGAGAAACATCCGACTCGGGTGATCATGATGGTGTCCGAAGTGGATAGTGCTTTAAATAGGGAGGTGCTGCGTGCGATCTTGCTATCAGACTGTACGGCTGTGGAGCCCAGGCGATGACCCTTTGAAATCGCTAATCCGGCAGCGCCAGGCGCCTTTCTCATCTTCTAGAAAACTTGGATTGCGAGCGGGTATAAGTACAAAGCGGAGCATGGCGGAGCAACGCCATAATCTGCACCATCTTCGGACTAGCTAGCAGTAGAAAGCGGCGCTGCATTCCGCAAATTGAAGCCATGTCGTCCTTGTAACCTTGGGGTTTCCGAAAATTAGGGGTACCGGTACCTTATTTGGGAATCCGTATAATAAGGATCATACTTATTAGGGTAATCTATTGTATACATGCCTTGCATCGCTTGCGAGGGCGGATGAGCCCACATTTGTGGTCATTTAGAGCCTCGTGTTTTGCCCGAGCCTTGCCCCATGCTTCTGTCCAAACATGGCGAGGGAGGGCGGGAGAGAGAGAGAGAGAGAGAGGGATACCAGGGAAAGGAGAGAGAGAGAGAGAGATTTCTCGTTATTATGTAATTGATGGGGAACTTTGTCCTCAGTGGAAGCGTTTGTCAGTGAGAATGTACTTGTCCTTCACTACGATATTGTATTCTTGATGGCGTTAGCCCAAGAAGGACACTACTTTCGTATCTCACTCCCTGCAATACCCATTAAGTGTAATGGGTGGGCTTTGAAGCCTGGGGACGCTGACCCGTCCCAACGCCCAGGAGAGAGCGAGAGAGAGGGATACCAGGGAAGAGAGAGAGAGAGAGAGAGAGAAGGTGAGAGAGAGAGAGAGAGAGAGAGATTGGGACGCCCGATAGACTTTAACCCTCGTCCTAAAGCCCCAATCCCTCAAAACAAGCAACCACTGATCAGGATGAGGAAGGCTTCCGCAAGGCCTGCGAGTTCGTGCTGCTGCACTCCCCGACAGGAGGCAACTTGGAAGCGGAGGCGCGGGAAGTTCGCAGAAAGCCAGTTTAAGGTAGTCGGTAGTTTAGGGTGTAGGGTTACAAGGGTTTTGGGTACACCGGGTTTGAGGCTGCCGGTCGTTTCCTTCCTGGTTGGTTGACAGCATACCACTGTACATTGAGAGTATTTTAACCGTTTGCCCATCGACACACTCACCAGCTTGAGCTTACACTCAATTCCGGCTCCAGCAGCTCGGCAATGGTATGTTTCTTGTTTGTATGGACAGGTGAAGCGCCGAGATCTCATCCAGGACACCCGGGTTGAGCCAAACTATGTAGGCCGTGCTCTGGTGCAGTAGGACTACGATGTATGGACGCTTCTTGGTGGGATGAAAGTCAGGAACTGGGGTCGGAGGAATGTTGCCTGGCAGATGTAGCGACGCCCATCTGCCAGCCGGGCTCGGAGGTGAATTGGGCCTTCAGACTGATCACCTACAAGCGGTTACCCCCCAAGGATGTTCGAATCTTCATTGATGCTTGGAAGGCGCTTGGCCCCGGCCCCAATCCCTGATTCCGATCACCGCAAGCGAAACGCCTGCATCGGGAAGTTCGACGGTGCCGGGACCGCGAGGAAGCAGTGGCGCACCGAGAGTCCACCCGCCCGATGCTCCATCCCCAGCTGCCGCGGCCCTAGTAACTTGAGCTCTTTGCAGGTGCTGCTTCTGAGATGCCAAGTTCATAGTGGTAACAATGATAAGTAGTGAAAATTAAGAAGTGGAAGAAGAACGACAACAAGTTAATACCATTTAATAACCATAATAATCCAAAAAAACATGAAAATAACAACGATGCCAACTGTTACTATCATTAGAGTATTCGTGTGATTAGTATTTTACTCGTGATGGTGATGACGTCCGCCAAGACTATACTGTCCACAAGTGACGTCCGTGGGTCATTGCCAGAAAGACGACAGCTGTTACAATATTGCTAGTACTGCATCTTCCCCCACTGTCGATCACTACCACGACGACGACCACTACGACCGCGGCTTCAGAGTCCGCTTGGTGCATGTCCAGGGTGTTTTTTGTCCATGAGCTGCTAGGCTCAAGCCCTTTGCGTTCTTCCTTTAATAAGCAAGGACAAGGCTACGGAGGCTACGACTTTAGAAGCTCCACCCATGGGCTAAAGCTTCCTAAGCCGAAATCCCAAAACCCTACACCCACCAAATCCTAAGCCCTCAAACTTAACCCCTAAGCCCTCAGAGCTTTAAGCTCTAAACCCTAAACCGAGGTGGGAGGGGACACAGGAGTTTTAAAAAACAAAAAGCCGAGGTGGGAGCAACGGCAGCACTACGCCTCATCGTTAGGCCGTTTCTGCCAGAGCTGCGAGAGAGGAGGCCCGGTTTGAGGCTTTGGTTTTTTTTTTATATGGCTGGTTCTCAAAATTATGGTCCCTTTTTGGGTACCCTAAGTAATAGGTGCCGTACTATAATAGGGACCCAAAAAGGGACCCTATTTTTGACAACCACCCATATAGGGGTTGCTTAATATGATTTGCTTACGAAAGTCCTTAAGACGGGCAGGTTATTTGGGGGTTAACGTCTCTTTAGGCCTTGAGGTCTTGAGTGAATGAGGTATGGGGTCTGCAGGTTTTGGGGTCTGGGTGCATAGGCCTCAGGGCCTTATCAGTCGGATTTAGGTGTTTGGGGTTTGGTGGCTCAGGGGTTTAGCGAGACGATTTCAGGGCTTCCAGCATTGAAATTATCTGCGAGGCCAGGTTTTTGTTTTTCATGATCTGATGCCTAAAGCAATCTCGAAGGTCCTTTTGCCTTACACGACCGTCATCATTTGCACAGCTTCCCGCTTTGGGGCGTTTGCAAGTTATTCCTTTTGCTGGTTTGCAGACAAATGTACCAAGCGCCCACCTC